TGACCGAGCCGTATAGTTCCATAGCACTTCGACTGAATCAAGTCGATAATGTGTATTAATCAGGTTGTGTTTCTCAAGTACTGAGAGTCTTTGAAATTGTCGTAAAGACGAACTTGGCCACCTCACTGAACGCTTCCATAGCAGAATGGCTCAGAGAAACGACAGTGAAGGCCGTCGTTGAAATCTGGCCATCCCCGACTTCCATTCCGAGGAAGTGGTCGCCGCCTCAACTCCATGTATAAAGTCGGACAAAGCCCGACGCTTAGCTATCAAATTGGAGCGAAACATGCCACCCGCGTGTCTTCATTGTGGGCTGGGATGATGCGAGACCAGGCTAAACCACCGGATTGGCTGCGGAGCAATCCTTACTCTGCAAGCTCTTAATTGATGATCCAGTCAACCACGTCCAACTGCGAAAATCAGGGTGTTGCTGCGGGGTGTCAGATGCGGTATCACCATCGCGGCGCGATATGGCGTCACGCCGGGCTCGGCCCCGACCCCACCGAGGCTCTCGTTATCTCCAACCCGGAGCCGTGGGCGGCCAACCATCGGGGAACTTGGGTGTTCTGATAAAAGAGCTGCATGACCCAGTTTCTGCAGCCCTGATTTGCATGTGAAGTGTCTTGTTTTTGTAAAGTAACTTTGAACTTTGTTTGGGAACTCGAAACGACGAAATGGGGAGTACAAGCCAGCCACAGCAGCTTCAGGTTGCCATCATCGGCGCAGGCATCGCCGGCTTGACAGCCGCGATCGCGTTGAAAGAGCACCCAGGCGTCAACGTTCAGATTTATGACAAGGCGACAGAGCTACGAGAAGTCGGCGCGTCTATTGCTCTCGGGCCGAATGGCCTGCGTACGTTGGAAAAGCTGGGTGTTCACAATGCCTTGGACGATTCAATCGCTTTCCGTAACAAGTCGGGTTACCCAATGATCTACCGGTGAGTTTGCCGATTTTATATCGTGTGATGGCCGAACCTGATCATTAGATTAGCCATTACAAAACTGGCGAGATCGTCTCGGTAGACGAGCACCACGGAAGCGTGGAAGCGCGCCATAAGACAGCAAGATTCCACCGTCCGCATCTGCAGCAGGCTTTGCTCAAGCACATCGACCCTGCCCATATCCACCTCAAAAAGGCCTTCCAAAACATCGAGAATGAAGAGTCAACAGGCAGGCTGAGGATCACATTTGCCGATGGCACCGCCGTCACGGCAGACATCCTCCTCGGCGCGGATGGCATCCACTCTGGTGTGCGGAGCTTCTACGTCCCGTCATCTCGGTCAAAGTGGACCGGCTGGACAGCATTCCGTGCAGTGTACCCCATCTCTCATCTGTCTCACATTGCCGATGTTCCGGACCAGGCGGAGCACTGGTGGGGGATCGATCGGACGTGGTTCATGTCGAAGCTCGGCAAAGATCTCTTTTGCATCGTCGCTTCTCACCAAAGTGACCCTGACGCCTCGGATGCGCTGTACAAAGATACAGTGTGGAATACTGGCAGCGACATTAACTTGCTCAAGAAGCACTATAGCGAGTGGCACCGTCTAGTGCGCGAAATCATCGAGGCGACGCCTGCGGATTCATTGAAGGTGTATCCCAACGCTTCTGCCCACGGGCTAGAGAGCTGGGTTCTGGGCCAGGATAGAGTGACATTCGCTGGCGATGCGGCGCACGCCCATGGTGGAGCTTTCGCTGCGGGCGGAAGTCTCGCGATTGATGACGCCTGGGCTTTTGCAGCATCGATCCAGCACGTGTTCCCCCCGTCGGCTACGGAGCTTCCGTCGGCAGCAGACATTGCGAAAGCGTTAAAGTTGTATGAGAAGACCCGGAAATCGCACACGGACAGAGTGCTTGATACGGTGCATTCGACGAATAAGAAAAAGGTCGAACGGTTGGCTGTGGTGGAGAACGACGATGACCTGCGGGCGAGGATGAAGAATCGAGTTGAGCCTGTTTGGATCCATGAACATGATGTCGAGTCGGTATTCAGGCAGGTCTTGGCACAGGAACAAAGCCTTGAAGTCTCACGAGCGGCGTCGAATCCGTCAGATGTACAGATAGAAAGCCGTCTTTAGGTGTTGAGCATGATGGACGCCTGCAGCTTTTGTAGTAGAATTTTCCGAAAAGTCCCATGAGAGTCGCGGCTGTGGTCTTAGTCTATCTGCTGTGGTAATCTGTGCATGATTTCGAAATCCTATGGCACCGAATAGGTCATCTATCTGATGAAGGTCTGATTATCTGCCATCTAACACAGCCAGTCGATAGCACATATCGCTGAGAGACGCTCGAATCTTGCCTGGATACTCATGGTGGATAATTGTAGTTTTCCCCGGTCTCGTGCTCGTACATACGTCATAGAGATATGTATAGCATCAGCTTGCGCCTCATGTAGGCGACGTAAAGTTGGCAAATCAAGTCGATGCTCCGTGGTGATGATTGCTGTTGACTGGTGTTGGTGTTGGTTTGTGAGCAGACGGCAGGGAAGGGAGCTGGACGTCCCTGCGCTAGCCCCATAAGATCCCGCTGGTGGTCTGTGCTGACTCACACCTTGGGACTCCACCTTTACAGCAATGATTGGCCAATCGTTCGGCCGTTACGCGAGACCTTTCCGGGTTAAGCGCCGCTTTCGAGATGTCCGTGCTTCTTGTCCAATCATTGAGCTCGCGCAGGGCCCACTCTGCGCTCCTTCCCGTCCTGCAGTGTGATGTAGGTACCTTCGTACCTCACTCTCTCCCTCCCGCACTGCGAGCTACGAGCTGCCAGCTCCGACATCCCAGCGACCCTCATCCTCAGCCGCTCTTCCTCCTCCCAAGGACGACGCCGGGAGGCTGTATTCCAACACGACGTGTTTGCTTCCTTATCCCCTCCTGCGACCCTGGTCTTCTGGCTTTTCTCCAGCTGCTGCGCCCGTTCTCTCGCCCGCGACCTCCCTTCCTCACCGACCGTTTACCCCGCCGAGCCGTTGCGACCAGCGCGCGATATGCCTCCTTAGTACTTCATATTTTCCCCAACATGCCAAAACCGACATGACACAGCCTTGCTCCTACTCAATGGTTCTTGGATAGTTGGCAACACGAAACGATAGGCTATGAGGCCGAATCTATGCCTTCCACTCACTATCCACATCAGTAAGCGTGCCCTCGGAGCTTAGACATGGACTTGGATTCTAACCTCCCTCTCCGCTCAAAGCTCCTCGATCCGACCATGGCACCGCACACGAAAACCGCCCCGTCAGCCCCGAGAACCCCGAAGAAGCCTACCCAAACCGACCGAGTCAGGGATGTTGTGGACAGGCTTAATCGAGAATACAATCTCGCCATTGAGATACCCGATGTGACACTTACACCGTCCTCGACCCGGCAGCGCGCCGAACAGGATATAGCCTTTGCCCGCAGCGAAAAGATTGTCCGTGGCATCCGTTTCCATTGCTTCCAAAGCACCTTGCTGGATAAGATTCTCGGTTCCTTTCATATGGAAGCTAGAGCTGCTAGTCAGACATGGATTCGATTGTTTGATGATGACGAACCCATCCCGGGACCTGGAAGGGCCCCCAAGGCTGAATCACCTGGCCAATTGTTAGAGTTGCAGGAGCTTCTCATAGATATATTGGATAAGGCTCATGCTCAAGTCAAGGCACGCATATTGACTCGAAATCACACCGGACCAGCAGTCTTCACCTCGACTGAATCAAGCAAGTCAAAGAGGAGATCCGACCTGGACACCAAAGCCGAGTCACCCAAGAGAGCCAGGGGAAGCTCCTTACGGGGAGTGGAGAGAGAAGGTGTGATTTCAATTGCTCTGGACAAAGTTCCAAGTCGTTCTCGAGCAGCCATACCCGAGGCCATGCCGGCACAAGTTACCAGGGACGCCTGGAGGCTGAACAAATCTTTCGATACTTCCCTCTATACTTCGACTTCCGTGCGTCAAAGCGTTTACGGGACCGCTTCTCACACGACATCTGCGAGCACTAGCCGGACGTCACTCTTTTCCAAGGCAGACGAGCGACTGCCGGGCACTCAAGATACAGTTCCAGCTCCACTTGAGGAGGAAGAGATGCGCCGGGAGTTTCTTGACCAAGCACCAAATTCGTCACAGTCGCAGGACCTTTTCCCGGCATCTTCTGGTCATCTCGATGCACTGAATATCTCCTTCACAGAACACGAAGTAGAATCATCAAAGAAGAGGTCTAGAACACCAGCAGATCCCGGTCCCAAACCGCTCGTCAGCCCTTCTAAGAGGTCAACCGTCTGCTCAGGGATCTCGGGTCTTCGAGATCAATCCTTATGCGAGCCCGTCTCTACTCCCCTTAAACGATCTGAGCCGTTTGATCTCCGATCCCGTCTTGACGCCTCATGGCGTAAGTTCTTCCGCTGCTAGACATTGGGGCCGCCACCCGCACTATTGATACGGGTTTGAATCGACCAAGTGCTAACCGTTTTGCCAGCCAGATTTCCCAGTTGGCTCAACCGTGCGCCATTCGCTGTCGCATGGGAAATGACGCGCATCGCAGTGCATTGCGAAGTCGACCTCGGAGAAGTGATGATGGACTATGACGAATCGTGGATCAATTACAGCCAACTATGGAAGTCTCTCTTAGCCCATCCCGACTTCGCTGGCAAATCGTTTCCTGAGCGTCCCAGTACCGACGCTTGGGCTGCTGCCATGTCCGGCTTCAACACAGTTAGAGGACAGCACATAGTCTTTTCTGCTCGTTTTGATCAAGTTCCTCGAGCGAAGAAGAAGGGTCCCATGTTCTCATTGTCGATGCAGCCCATCGCCTTGGATCAAGGCTGTCGTCTGCACCGCCATTTCGGCTCCGATCGGTTTCTCGAAATCTTGATCCCAAACCCCAAAGGGTGGCATGAACCCATCAAAGAGTCTGAGATGTCACAAAAGGTCGTTCATTGGTTCTCTTCAGAGCGACATTACCTCGCAGGCAGGCAGTGGCGAGCGTTCTTCTCCAGAGACGCTGGATATAAGACGCCACAGAAAAACTTGAATATGGGCCCTGAGCCAAAGCCCGTTTACCAAGACAGAATCAGTCTCTTTGCCGAGAACGGCAACAACTTTCATGCAGCCCTCCCTCTCGGAAAATCTTCTCACGACAACCCTCGGGAGTTTAGGGTCAAACTCAGCACTGGAGAGATGCTTGACTGGCTTCTTCAATTTGAGTACAACAAGGAACAGCCGTTTCTCAAGTTGTTTTCCCGTATTCAGCTTGGTGAGAGAGGCACACACAAGTCTGCAGTCTGTAACGTCTACTGATCCGCTTCACAGGATTGAGCAAAACGACGCCAGTGGTCGTTCTCGAGCCCAATCAAATACGTCACCAGAAAATGGACATACTCTCGCCAACCGGCATGGTCATGAACGACGGAATCGGCCTCATGTCTCGCGCACTTGCTCGCAAAGTCAGAGATGTTCTTGGACTAAGTGATGTCCCGTCTGCTGTTCAGGGTCGCTTTGGTCCTGCCAAGGGCATGTGGATGACCGACATCTTTGATGACGACGACGGCCTGTGGATAGAGACGTGGCCGTCTCAACGGAAGTGGGAATGTGACAATGTTGACCCGCAGCATCGCACGCTCGAAATACGTGCTCATTCGATGGAGCCACGATCTGCCAGCCTCAACGTCCAGTTCCTTCCAGTTCTCGAAGACCGAGCCAAAGACAGAAACGCAATGAAACACACTATTGGAAAGATCCTTGGGGACGAACTATATCGGTCGCTAGAGGAGCAAAAGAACGCGATGAAGTATCCCTTGGAGTTCCGCAAATGGAATGTTCAAAATTCTTCCACGAGAAAGCAGCGGCTTACCTGTGGACGGGTGCCTTTCTTGGCTGGTCTTCCGGACTCGCAAGAAGAGACCATGAACTTCCTTCTGGATGGTGGATTCGAGCCACTGAAGCAGAAGTTCCTCCAAGAGATTGCCTGGAATCTAAGGCGAAGCAAGTGCGAAAATCTGTTGAAGAAGATGAGCATCCAGGTGCCCAACTCAGCCTACTTCTTCATGGTGGTCGACATGTGGAACATACTTGAAGAGGACGAAGTACACTTATGCTTTTCATCAAAGTTCCAGACGGAGACCTTTTCGGACTCCATGCTCCATGGTTGCGACGTCCTCGTGGCTCGCTCTCCAGCGCATTTTGTGAGCGATATCCAGAGGGTGAGGGCCGTATTCAAACCGGAGCTACACGCTCTCAAAGATGTCATTGTTTTCTCGGCCAAAGGAAACGTGCCTCTTGCAGACAAACTGTCAGGTGGTGACTATGACGGTGACAAGGCATGGGTCTGCTGGGAGCCAGCCATTGTGTCAAATTTTGAAAACGCAGAGGTACCGCCAAGCCCCGATTTATCAAGCTACTTGAGGAAAGACAAAACAACGTTTGGGGATCTTGTTCAACAGCAAGGTGAAAAGGCTGTATCGGAATTGATCAACCGCAGTATTGCCTTCAGCATGAAGCCTAGCTTCTTGGGAATTGCAACCGCCTACAAGGAGAGGCTCTGCTACCACCTCAACAGTGTGAACAACTCTTACGCCCTCTGGTTAAGCGCCCTTTTGGGCAAACTTGTTGACCAGGCCAAACAGGGCTTTGACTTTACGACAGAAGATTGGTATAGGTTCTGCCGAGAGCGACTCGACAGTCACCATTTCAACGGTCTGTCAGAGCCGGCTTACAAGTCTGAAAGTTGGTCGCACGCGCAATCACCAGTCCACATAATCGACATTTTAAGGTTCGTGGTGGCGAAGCCAGCTATTGAAAAGGAACTGGCAAAGTTCCACAAGTCAATGTCCACGAGATCGAATGAATCGGGGTATGAGCTGCGATCTCTTCGCTCGATCAAAGCTAGCGAAGAGGAGCTTACAGCGGAACTGTGGGATGCTGATCTTACCAAGCTTCATGATGAATTCGCGAAACTTGCAACGAAGAACCCGATCTTGAAAAAGATTTTGCGACATCTCAAGACCGACTTGGAAGGCGCCGAAAAGAGTTGGAGCGAGAAGGTTGGCTCGAGCAGAGACAAGGACGACATGAACCGCGCCATACTAGAAGTCTATGAAGAATGGCGCTCAATTCAACCCCGTCTAGATGGTGCGCTTGAGCCACTGACCGATGCTTTACTGAGGCAGACGTACGCGAGCGAGGACCACACTACCTGGGCTTTACTGCGCGCCAGTACAACATTCAAGATGTTTTACAATCGCAAAACAAAGTTTGCTTGGCGGATGGCGGGCATCCAACTGCAGTTCATAAAGGCAATGACTACAGCAGGGCTTGACAGGGTCCTTGTCCCTGTGGTCCCGAGCATGTATGCGGCGCTGAAGCCGGATGCCAAATTCGTCACTCAGGCCACCTCAAGACTGAAGGATGAAGGATCCGAGTATCCTGGTCTCGGCTCTGATGGCGAGGGTGATTGGGATGGGTCAGAGGGCGAGGAATGACGGCATCCCTTTTGACCAATTGTGTCTTTTCACAAGAGCAACCCGCGGTCGGACGACCTAGGAGCTCAACTTTCTGATTACTGTTTTGCCTTTGCCCAAATTCTGACTTCACTTCGGGTCAGAAAGACTTGGAGCTTGGAGCGAAAGAATTCAACGGAGCTATGATATGGAACGAAAGAAGTGCGATTTGGAATTTGCTTGGAAGCGATTCTGCGGATACCCTTTGTATGTTTGTTGGAGCCTTTCGTACACTTACCGCGTCGCGTCTGAGAGCACGCGAGAACATGTACGGCCGTTTTCCTTTCCTGATTGTGGCGAGTCTCACAACCTTTGTGTCCTGATGCCTTTCTCGTGACCAACGCCCCGTTGACCCCAACATAAGCCTTGTGGAAGTTGCTTGAAGAGGCCATCTGTGATACACAGAGCAACTTTAATGAATGGACCCTAGGCACCAGGAATAAGCGTTTTTGTCAAAATTCCTAATGCCCTTTATATTTCTGCCACACAACGATGTTTTCTTCCCCTGAAAACCTTGCCCAGAACACACAATCCAACCCATCTAAAGATATTTCTCTTTACCACAGCTTTAGCACTCTCGCAATGTCATTATCACTCCCGCTTAAACGAGAGGGCCAGGACCCGGACAATCGACCGCTGAGGTCTGTTACCACGTCGTCTAATAGTCATACGTTACTAATTGGTATATCAAGTAAGAGAAGGATTAACGTGGCATCGTCGGCGCGTTCTTATCAACCACCCGCGCCACCAGGATTGGTTCGAGAAAATAACGTCTCTGAGGCACCTCTTCTCTCCGGCAGGAGAAGTATCAACTTGTATCGATCAGCAGCCCGCCGCACGTGCGGCTCGGATGCGGCGTACTCTGTGGGCGCGGACGATATCCTCTGCAAAGGTCCCTCGCAGTGCCCCTATGATCCTGAGGCGCGTCCCCATGCTGTTTTCAGGCATGATCATCCCCACGGCAAGAAGAAGCCCAAATGTGCAGACAAGACTGTAGAGCTATTGCGGGCTATGGAGCGATCTTCGGGTGAACGGGAGGGCGAAGTCGCTGACGAGACGCGCTCCAGCTCTACTTCTAAGCGGCGTGAACCGGTCGTAGTTTGGATCGATGGGGATACGGGAATGAAGATGGAGCCTCCCAAGGAAGGCGTGCGTGTGCGCGAATCGTATTGTAGGACAAAAGTTGAGGACGGAGAGGCGGGCCCAACACTCACATTTGGCCCTTATCACCGGTCTCTTCTTGAGACCATGGCACAGGACATTCCCATTGCGCCAGGACCGGCACAGAGGACTCCCCCTGGAACTCGGGCGCACCATGGTCCGCCTCCTCCTCCTGCTCATCAGGAGAAGCCGATTCCGTCACCTTTCCTCGCGGCCGGCAGCCGGACTCTCCCGCATAACCCGGTTACCGAGCAGACCAACGCCGAGGGGCGTATGAACGAGGCGATAATCCACATGACAAATTACTATCGCCAGGAGCAATCTGATCCGAAACAGCCAGTAGTAGATATGCAGCGTGAGGGAGTGGCCTTCGCGTTGAAGAGTCAAGAGCGTTTCCGAGAGGCGACCGAGATTGCGCGACAGCGACTAGAGGAGCAGAAGCTCCTCGCGAAGAAGGCGCAAGAAGAAGAGGTGTTGAAGAAGGAGGCGCTGAGACGGAAGGAGCTGCAGCGACAAGAGTTTGAGCAGCAGCAGCAACAGCAGCAGCGCGAGTACCAGCTTAAGCTGGAGCAAGACGAAGTGCGAGCGCGCAAGCGCAATCGAATGGAAGAGCGCATCACCAGGCAGCTCCGGATGAAGCAGCAGCAGGAGTACGAGCTCGAGCAGAAGCAGAGGCAGGAAGAGCTGCAGCGGCAGGAGGGCTTTGCTAAGCAGAGACAGTTGGAGAAGCATCAGCTCGAGATGAAGCAGCGCCAGGAGTTCCAGGTCAAGCAGAAGCAGCAGCAGCAAGAGCAACAGGAGCACGAGCTCAAGCTGAAGCAAAAGCAAGAGTACGTTGCGCTGATGTTGAAGAAACAGCAAGAACGCAGGCTCGAGCTGAAGAAGCTGCAAGATGAGGAGAGGCAGAGGCAGCAACAGAAGCAGGCAGAGCTGCAGCGACAAGAGGAGCAAGCCAAGCAGAGGCAGCGAGAAGAGTACCAGCTCCAGATGAAGGAGCGAGAGGAGTATCAGCTCCGACAAAAGCAGCAGCAGCAGCAGCAACAACAACAACAAGAACTCGAGCGCAGGAAGAAAGAGTCACAAGAACTTAGACTCAAGCAGCAGCAGCGACATGAAGCTCTGCTCAAGAGTAAGCAGGAGCTCGAAGCGCTGCAGAGTGGAGTCAGACAGCGTGAGGCCGAACTCATGCAGAAGCAGCGACAAGAGTACGAGTTCAAGGAGAGACAGAAGCGAGAGGAGCAGCAGCGGGTGCAGCTGAAGCGGCAGGCAGAGTACGAAGCCAAGAAGCAGCAGATCGAGGCTTCTGACGTCTCCTCTAAGCCTGTTTACAACCCTGAGCAGGGGTATGCCGATATGATTGACATGATCAAGAATTGGCAGCTTTCGGCGACGAAGGCAATCCATTCCATCTCGGAGGAGTTGGGTCGGATCTCTGCTACCGCGGCCAAGGCGGAGGAGCAGATCGAGCGGGACGCCGTCGCTGCGGGGGTTGCTTCCAAGCCCGAGAGCGTGGCCAAGGCAGCTGAGGCGTCAAAGGCCGAGGTCGAAGCCGATCGCGAGATTCCTCCCTTCTCGTTGGGTTCTCCTCTTTCTCCTGTGATTGACCCCGTAAGTACACCCTGTATCGGTTCGCCGTCTGGTTGTTCCCCCGCTAACACCAGATATTCACAGCGCAATTGGTCTAATCCCGGCGCCAACTCAAGTCAAGGGATGGTGCATAGGCTCGCCAAGAAGGAAGACGATGTTCAGAATTTTGACTTTATCAGCCATGAGGATGCTCAAGATCCCGCGGAAGAGTTCATCATCACGGAACCTATCAACTGCTGCGAGAATGGCAAGAACTGCAAGTATTGCAAATGCCAGGAGCCACCGCAGGCTGGTATTGCTAGGGCGTTGCCTTTGGAGTTCTTTGATGATGATTTCCTCCTCATTTGAGGGTTCCCCTAGGTTGACTTGCGAATAAAGATGTGGCGTTTAGGCGTTTACATGTCTCTTGCCGCGGCTGATGGCCAGTTGGAAACGCAGTCTTCAGGGCAGATACACGGGGCCCAGTTTTGAGATCGTAATTCTATAGTTTTCTATCCCGTCTATTTACCGGTTTAAGTCATTCTTACCGCTTTGACTTAGACACGTGAGTGAGTTGAGACTGCCATGGTCATTCTGCCGTCAGGTACCAAGTGATAGGTGTCTTGGACACAGGGGTTTGGCGGGGGAACGTAGATATGGAATATGGAATTCTTGTTTTGCCATGGATAGTGTTATTGTATTGTTTTTCGAGGGTTTATCAGTTTTCTACGTGTTTTTGCCATCATGAATAGTGATGTTGATGGTGATACGCTCTGCATCTTGGACTCCTGAGAGTCATGGGCCATGGCATGGCATTTGAGCTGTTAAAGAGACGCCCATAGATGTTAAAGAAACCTAACGCCGTGCCCTGAATGTCGGGAAGATGAGGAAATGTTCTCTCACTCTGCAACTCTGCAGGCAACCTAGAATAATCAGGCGGCCTTGGCCGGGTCTTGGAAGAAGATGACCTGAACCGTAACATCATCCCTGACGTTCCTCGCCAACGGCGGGTACGCGAGCGTGACACCGGTGAAGAGGGACCTGCGCGTGCCGCCCAGCGCATTCTTGATCAGATGCACAGCCGCGTTGTCGAGGTCTTCGACGACAAAGTGCTCCGGCTTGGCGGACCAGTTGGCCCAGCCCGCGGACATATCGAACTCGCTCTTGACGCCTGGGGTCACGGCGAGCTTGTCGTGGGGCGTCTTTTCGCCAGCCTTCTTGGCCGTGATCCAGCGCGACACGCATTCCACCGCGTTGGCGGACGAGATGTGATCCCACAGACCGTCGGAAGCAAGGATGACAAAGTCGGGGCCCTTGATCTCAGTTACCGTGGTCACAACGGGCGCGGCGGTCATGTACGGCGGCGTGAGGTACTTGGGCCGCACACCGGTGCCGAAAAAGTCGTTCTGGGCTTCCTTGATGGCGTCCGCAGTCCACTTCCAGCGGTGGTCGCCAAACGCACGGGTAACGGCGATGCCAAAGAGGCGGCCGCTCTTGGTGTCGATCATGTCCGCCTCCTCGCCTGGGTGCTCCTTTGCGATGCGGTCAAACTCATCCTTGTTGTGGCCCGTCTGGTCCTTAGAGAGGGCGCGCGCCGAATACGAGGTCGCGCCGGGGGCGATGGAGCCCAGGACGGCGCGGGAGTCACCGGTGCAGGCGACGCGGAGGGTCGAGGTGGCTGGATCGAAAATGGAGAGGAGGGCGCAGGAGCCTGCGATGGCGGGGGCGAGAGCGGCGATGACGTTGGAGTCGGCGGGTTCGACGGTGCCGGATTTGAGACCGGCTATGGCCTTTTGGGCGTTGGATGTGATGAGATCGTCTAGGTTAGTGAAGGCCTTGACGATGGCTGTTTCGACTGCTGCGTCTTCGGTGCCACGGCTTAGTTGGGCGATGGAGGATGATACGGCGGGGATGAGGGCGCTCTTGAGCAGTAACGAGGTTGCCCATCCGCTGTTTCAGTCAGTACCAGCAGCACTTGAGGGGCGAAGACAACATTGAGACTCACGCATGGCCATCATAGACGCCGTTAAACAAGGTCTCAGATTTTCCAACACCCGGGCCGAGGGAGAATGTCATGACGTCCTCGACAGGGTGGTTGCTCGCGACTCTCGCGGCGTGGACGTGGGCGTGCTTCCCCTCAGCAGTGAAAGATCCCACAAAGACATCCTCACGGAGCTTCGCGTCCGCAGTCTCGAAGCTGCCCCCATCGACCGGTGTCTTGGCCAGAGCATCCAAGTCAACGGGGCCGGATCCCAGGCTGGGAATAGTGCCAGGCTTCAGACTCGAAGGGATGATGGCGGCCTTGCCCTTGCCATTTCCGCGATCTCGCACCACGTCGGCGATGAACCAGCCGGCGGCGACACTAGCAGCTCCGAGTGCGTACTTTGGCAACCTGGAAGAGCTTGGTGATGGGCCGGTGCTACTCGAGTTTCGGCGCGTCCAACGCGGAGCCGAAGCGCGGATGGTACGCGCTGGGGCGTGGAACCGGAGGGAGGCCCCGGCATTGGGGCGGTATGCACGCTGCAGCATCATGGACCTTTTGAATGCTTGGTTGGTGTGGGTGGTTTAGCTTGGCGATCCTTCAGTCATTTGGGTGCGGCTGCGGCTCTCCTTTTTGTAGGTAGATAGAATGACGATGAATCAGGTAAATTGGAAGCCTCTCCTACGACTGTGAAACAAGATTTTGAGTGATGAAGTGAACAAGTGTGAGAGTGAACGTGAAAGTGAAAGTATAAGTGAGAATAAGAATGAGAATAAGAATGAGAATGAGTTTGAAAGATGAGTGAGACTTTGATGAGGTGAGACGGAGTAAGCTGTGGTGAATCGCCGTTGCTGTGGCAGGCGGTGGTCGCGTGCCTTCTTTCTTCCATCCCTCCCTGGCTCTTTCCCAGTCTCGTTTCGTCCATTTTCCCTCTGCGGCACGGACCGCACAGCACCAACAGCAGCAAACGAGCAAATTGCACCTTGGACTCAGCCTCACTGCCTCATTGAACAAAACCAGGAACTCGGGAGGGGGAAAACGGGGTGACGGGTCGAAGGATTCATACATCTTACACAGCTTCTCATTTCCGTTGAGTCTGGCCACCTGTGTGACTCACAAACGGCGTGAACCCGAACCATGGTTGGTTGGTGTGATGTCGGCTGTGAAGTATCACAAGAGCAACCTCCCAGGAAGTTGATACTGGTCATGCAGCCAACCACCTCATTAATTTTACTCAAAAGCTTCACCTCATCGAGGCTTGCCATCATCCAATTTTCTTCTGTCGTTGGTTCGGAATCTGATTTCTCATGGGGATCACTTGATGCATATTGTCCTTGTCTACCGATTCACAAAACTTTCCCCCATTCCCGCAATGCCAGCACCCATATCAAGTACGAAGGTAGCACCTAGGCGTTCGAAAGTGCTAGGGTCGTCTGTCATCGGCCTGAGAATCTCTGGCGGCTTCAAGTCGTGTAGCATCCAAGTCTCATCGTCGCAATTCGGGGGTTTGACTCGAATACAGACTCGGCGGGTCCGCGCAGTTACACAAATCCGTGATACATATATGTATATAGTCGAGCAACAGAATTCAGCGCAATTGATTGATTTAGTTGACCTTTATAGAGTGTGTGAAGCCTCAGGCTGGTTTCCAAGGAGGTCGGTCGACCACTACAGATCTGATGCCAGCCTCCCCGGCCCGGACCACGAGGTCTCGGATGGAGTCCACCATGCAATCCATATAGAAAGCTTCTGAACACTGCAGCGTACCCGCAAACTTGGCTCGTATATCATGTTATCTTCGCCGTAAGTCTTTCGTATCAAGAAAAAAAAAGGTCGAATCGCAGGGTCCATTTCGATAAGCCGGTCGATAAGCTCTATGTATTGCTTGAGGTTGGAATCAGATACGCTTCGTTTAGCATCTTGTTCTATTGGGCAATCGTGCTTTAGGCGGAGTCTGAAGCTCAGTATATGTTGCAGAAGGGGCCTGCAATAGGGGATGCAGGAGTCTGCATGCAAAAAGTATCTCCACACATTATCCGCCACAGGAACTTAACTCGCCTTGTACCTTTCTATTAAACAACATAGAACTAGGAAGTCAATAAATACGTGTAAGAATGTTTTTTTATAGGTTTTTTAACCAAAAAGGAAAGGGGGAAAAAAAAAAAAGAAGAAGAAAGAAAAACAATCACGATAAAGATACACTGACCCTTGTTATTTAAACCCTACGTCCATCTCATTTCCGATTATGAAGTTGATGAGTTCTGATTTATATCTTGTGAAGTCCTGATCTGTATCAATGTCCTCTTCTATCATGACATTTCCAGCGTTGCTAACATGGTTGATGTGACCGTACTGTATTCCCTTGGCGACGAGTATGTTATCGTTCTCGATCTCCAAATCGGGCGCCACAGACATCGCTCCACACGTATGAGAAATTGTGGCTTTTCGTCCTCAGAAAGACATTGTGCTCCTGCCCAGCTGTGTGAGGGAGCGATATTCCGGGCACGATGATATGGAGTAGTCGTGGAACCAATGTGCACACCCTTATTTAAATCGTCTGCCGCTTGGTGAGCTAGCGATGGTACACTTCCGATCTGCACAAGTCGGATCGAGCTTTGTGGCAGAGCTGAATAGTTGAAATAGCCTTCGGATTTAAGAATTTTTGGCGACATTTTTGAGGTGCCTGACGTTGAGCTTGGGGAGCTCACGGAAACCGAAGTACTGTTAGCCACGTGAGCATAAAGAGGTATGTATGTGGAGAAGTTGTGATATTGAGTCTTAAAATTTCCATCTAGAAGACGCACACTTAAAAGTTGTCTATGGCTTGAGGTCATCGACCGGTAAGTCATGTGCCCGGATATTTCTGTGAGTGCTCAAGTTGTCAGTGACGACGTGCTCAGATATTCAGTATACTCATGTCTCTGTTGGTGACCTGCAGGCAACCATGTTCAAGTCGCCTCGCCAAGCTCAGCTTCTTTTCCCTTCCTATCGGCATTCGCTGATGCTCTACGCCTGGCGGTGTGGCGCACCGTCTGAAGGGTCCAACTCCAGAGTCCAGAGTGGATCGTATAGGCAAAAGCGCCAGGCGCCAGCTAGTAGGAGTGAGCCTGGTCCGTAATCACTGGCCGAATCTGCAAGCTTAACATGGAATTCAGTGTGCTGAGTCCTGGCTGCCAACCTGCGAACAACACAGCCACCCGGCTTGACAAGCCAGAGTGTGGAAAATTAGACCGCAAGAATATCAATACATCATGTAGAAAACGCAGAGTCCGCACAAAAAATGCTTGAACAAGGCTGAATCTAAAAAGGTGTTTTTACACTTGGTATTAAATAAAATTAGACGTTCTTCACTTAAGGAGAAATTATGACCGACAGGTGCTAAGTAAAT